CCTGGTGGAGTAGGCTCAGGGTTTGAGAGAAGGTCAGGGGTAGGCCCTTTCTCTGCAGACAGACATCCTAGATTCTGCCATGCTGGGAAAATGCTTGATCTCTTTATTAGAGTGTAGACCTGGCCCCTACTGCCAGGCTAAGCCAACAGAGAGATTTTTAACCTCCCTTCTCCCTCCATCCCATAACAAAGTCTCTGAACACAATGCTAGAAAAGAACTGAACCAAAGGACTCACTGTGGGGGATTCTCTTGGACACTCACCCCACAGCAGTAGGAATATGGAGTGAGGAACTGGCTTTTCCTCTGTCTGATCTTTTTCTTGTTCACTGGAAAGTGATTCTGCCCAGGGATCATAGAACCATAGAATATCAGGGTTGGAAGAGACCTCAGGGTCACCTAGTCCAACCCCCTGCTCAAAACAGGGCCAATCCCCAATTTTTTTGCCCCAAATGGCCCCCTGAAGGATTGAATCCACAACCCTGGGTTTAGGAGGCCAATGCTCAAACCACTGAGCTATCCCTCCCCCGCATGCTTCAATACATGTGTCTGGGTGGATTAGAGAGCAGGAAATCTCTCTCCCTCCACTGATTTCTATCACTGCCCCTTTCAGTCTCTCCTTCCCCTGTCCTCTCTCCCTGCCCCTCTGGCTGCGAAAGTCCCATTCCTTGGTTATTTGCTCTCCCATGGCTGAATTTTCTCCTGGCAATTGCTAATGAGAGGAGAAATGACGGGGGGCTGTTTGTTCAGTCACTTTCATGCCAGTCCCCAGCACTTTCCCTGATAAGAGGGAATTTTATATTGCTAGTTGGAAAAGGGGGACTGTTTGACTGGATTTTATATCACTGTCCAATACATAAACAGAAAGCGATAGTCTCCCCCCCCGTTACCCTCCCACCATGCACATGGGCAGGAGGGAGCCCTTTGAGGAGCTGCTTTAAGAGAGTAAGGGAGAAGGAGGGGGAGCTGGAAGGGTCCCTGGGTGAGGGAAGGGGCAGCTGTCGGGGATGGGCAGGTGATTGCTGGGGGCAACTGTGTTGGTAATTAGGGGGCAACAAGTGGGATTGAGAAACCAGGGTCTGGGCAGTGCCCATGGGGGACAGGTGCTCCTCCCTTCCCCACCCTGGCAGAGAACGGGAATCTCATCCCATCCCCACCCAGGGGCAGCCATGTTTTAGGGAATGACTCAGGGCAACAATTTCCCACCTAAACAAGGACAAATCGCTGCAGATAAAATGGGTGGGAAAATCCCCCCACATCAGAGAGATTTTAAATTGACATTTGAGACTCATGGCGAGAACAGGGGGAAAACAGGAGACATGAGAGAGCTGATCATTTGAGGGGAAAGGGGGAAATCTCCCCAGATTTTATAGTCATGTGTGAGATACTGAGAGAGAAAAGGGGAAGAACTGGAGAGAATTTGTATCAAGGCATGAGAGGCAAGGGGCACAAACCGGGAAAGGATCCAATTAACTCACATCCGTCCCTTCCCCTGCCCGCCACTTCTCCCCGGGGAATTTCCTCGCTGCACAGAGACAATTCAACCCTCCCTCCTCCCCCCACTCCGGGGTCTCTCACTGACCAGCGGGTTTATCTCTGTCTGAGGGGTTGGAGCAAATGCCATTGTATCTTAGAGCTTGGCTGTAGACAATGGATCGAATGGTGTGTCCTGGATAGAAGCTGGAGGCATGTAGGTAAGTATAGTGGTCAGTAGGTTTTTGGTATAGGGTGGTGTTTATGTGATCATCGTTTATGAGCACAGTAGTGTCCAGGAAGTGGATCTCTTGTGTGGACTGGTCCAGGCTGAGGTTGATGGTGGGATGGAAATTGTTGAAATTATGGTGGAATTCCTCAAGGGCTTCTTTTCCATGGGTCCAGATGATGAAGATGTCATCAATGTAGCATAAGTAGAGTAGGGGCGTAAGGGGATGAGAGCTAAGGAAGCGTTGTTCTAAGTCAGCCATGAAAAGTTGGCATACTGTGGGGCCATGCGGGTGCCCATAGCAGTGCCGCTGACTTGAACGTATATATTGTCTCCAAATGTGAAATAGTTGTGGGTGAGGACATGCCTCCAGCTTCCATCCAGGACACACCACTCGATCCATTGTCTACAGCCAAGCTCTAAAATACAACCGCATTTGCTCCAATCCCTCAGAGACAAACACCTACAAGATCTCTATCAAGCGTTCTTAAAACGACAATACTCACCTGCTGAAGTGAAAAAACAGATTGACAGAGCCAGAAGAGTACCCAGAAGTCAACTACTACGGGACAGGCCCAACCAAGAAAATAACAGGATGCCACTAGCCGTCACTTTCAGCCCCCAACTAAAACCTCTCCAGCGCATCATCAAAGATTTACAACCTATCCTGAAAGACAATCCCTCACTCTCACAGATCTTGGGAGACAGACCAGTCCTCGCTTACAGACAGCCCCCTAACCTGAAGCAAATACTCACCAGCAACCACACACCACACAACAAAAACACTAATCCAGGAACCTATCCTTGCAACAAAGCCCCATGCCAACTCTGTCCACATATCTATTCAAGTGACACCATCACTGGACCTAATCACATCAGCCACGCCATCAGGGGCTCTTTCACCTGCACATCTATCAATGTGATATATGCCATCATGTGCCAGCAATGCCCCTCTGCCATGTACATTGGCCAAACTGGACAGTCTCTACGCAAAAGAATAAACAGACACAAATCTGACATCAGGAATCATAACACTCAAAAACCAGTAGGAGAACACTTCAACCTCTCTGGCCACTCAGTAACAGACCTGAAGGATGCAATTTTGCAACAGAAAGACTTCAAAAACAGACTCCAACGAGAAACTGCTGAGCTTGAATTGATTTGCAAATTAGATACCATTAACTCTGGCTTGTATAGCGACTGGGAATGGCTGAGTCATTACACTACTTGAATCTATTTCCTGATGATAACTATCCTTAACCTCTTGTCAACTGTCTGTAATTGACCATCTTGATTATCACTAGAAACGTTTTTTTTCCTGCTGATAATAGGTCATCTTAATTAATTAGCCTCTTAGAGCTGGTATGGCATCTTCTTCGTATGTGTGTGTATATATATATATATATATTGATTTTACACACACACACACTCTTATTACATGTTCCATTCTATGCATCCAATGAAGTGGGCTGTAGCCCACGAAAGTTTATGCCCAAATAAATTTGTTAGTCTCTAAGGTGTCACAAGTACTCCTGTTCTTTTTACGGATACAGACTAACATGGCTGCTACTCTGAAACCTGTCTCTATAATCCCAACTATACATATAAAATGATGGGGTCTAAATTAGCTGGTTCCACTCAAGAGAGGGATCTTGGACTCACTGTGGATAGTTCTTAGAAAACATCCACTCAATGTGTAGCGGCAGTCAAAAAGCAAACACAATGTTGGGAATCATTAAGAAAGGGATAGATAAGAAGACAGAAAATATCATATTGCCTCTATATGAATCCATTGTATGCCCATATCTCAAATACTGCATGCAGATGTGGTCGCCCCATCTCAAAGAAAATATCATGGAATTGAAAAGGGTTTAGAAAAGGGCAAAAAAATGAGTAGGGGTATGGAACAGCTTCTGTATGAGGAAAGATTAAAAAGACTGGGACTTTTCAGCTTGAAAAAGAGATGAAGGGGGGTGAGGAGAGAGGTCTATAAAATCATGACTGACATGGAGAAAGTAAATAAGGAAGTTATTTACTTCTTCTCATAACACAAGGACTAGGAATCACACACAAAAAATGTATAGGCAGCATGTATAAAACAAAAAAAAGGAAGTGTTTCTTCACACAATGCACAGTCAACTTGTGGAACTCTTTGCCAGAGGAGGTTGTGAAGGCTAAGACTATAACAGGGTTCAAAAAAAGAACATGATGAATTCATGGAGGATAGGTCCATCAATGGCCATTAGCCAGGAAGGGCAGGGAAGGTGTCGGTAGCCTCTTCTTGCTAGAAGCTGGCAAAGCATGACAGGTGATGGATCATTTGATGATTACATGTTGTGTTCATTCCCTCTGGAGCACCTGGCATTGGCCACCGTCTGAAGACCGTATACAGGGCTGGATGGACCTTTGGACAGACCCAGTGTGCCTGTTTATATGTACTAGGGAATCGAGTGAGTCCAGTGTAATGGGAGGGAGTAGGAAAACCCCTGGCTGGGCAGAACACTGGGAAATTAGAAGCTTTAATTCAGGGGCAACAGACTCTAATTAATCTGGAAAAGCAGAATGTGAAAAATAAGAATCGGGGTCTTGTGACTTCGGGAATCAGGGACTCAAAAATCCAAGGCACCTGCAGAGAAGAGAGATTGTGGCTATTTCACATGGTGATGGGGGAGCAAGACTATCCATGTCTCAAGAAGTTTCATTACTAGCCTAAACCATTTTCACATGCTGGTGTGAAATGCAGAGCAGTGAGGACTTGTGTTGTTTGTAATTCTGCGTGAGATTCAATGTTCCGCTGCTGGAGCTCCCTTGTCTGGATACTCCCAGCCAGCATTCAAGGACACACTGAGTGTCTGTGTGATAATTAACCCTGGACCAGCAGCTCTGACTCTAGCAACTTGTTTGCTACACCCCAAGCACATTCTGGTCCTGGTGGAGTAGGCTCAGGGTTTGAGAGAAGGTCAGGGGTAGGAAGCTTCTGTTCGTTAGGCTGGATCTAACCCCCGGTTTACTTGAGCAAACAGGAGATATTTGACACTGTGTGATACTGCTCCTGTGCTCTGTTCCCAAAGTGCTCTGCAGCAGGGGAGGGTCTCTGGCAGTGTGTGTGTCACTGGAATATTGGGGTGATGCTGAAAGAGGACAGTGTAGAGGTGGTATTGTGGAGGTGGCATGAACCTTAACTCTTCATTTCGCCTTCCAAGAACTGAGGGAACAGTAACCCTTACCCAGCGAGGTCACATTCTCATAGTTCTCCTGCATGACGTCCCTATAAAGAGTTCTCTGAGCGGGGTCCAGTAGAGCCCACTCTTCCCTGGTGAAATACACAGCCACCTCCTCAACGGTCACCGGCCCCTGAAAGAGTAAGAGTTCAACACTCAGTACCTGCTGCCCCACTCACACTCCAAATCAAATGGAAGCTCCGGTAGATTGCAGTCAACAGAGTCCCACCCCCAGCCCTCTCAGAGCATCCTGGAAACACCAGGGTGAGGGGACAAAGAGAGAGCCCCTTGTCTTTCCCAGCAGATCCATCACACAGCTACTAGCCACAGACTGATACAGGGGATGGAGCCCCTGGCAGGGTCCAGGGAGAGTTCCGTGGAAGGAAGCCCAACACCCTCCTCATTGTGAGAAGCTGCATTATTTTAGCCCCATGAAGGTGGGTTATTTTCTGTTGAACAAATCAGAGCATTTCCATCTCCTAACCTCAGGGGTCTGTTCCTAGAATCTAGGCCACTTATTAAACAACTCCCAGCAGGTTTGCCACACCCTGTCCTCCTCCTTCTCCCATCCTGTGAATTTCCTGCCCTGCTCCAACCTCCAAACCAGACTGTGCAAACCATCCCATCTCTGGTGTATTTGGTGTCCCTCTCCCTCCAGTAAGAACCCACCAGCAATCCCCCAATAATCCCTACCTGAACTTGCTCCACTGCAGCCATTTTCCTCCCCTGTCCCATGGGATGAGCTGGAGCGAAACAGGGATGTCATTCTGCAGCCTGGGAGGGTGAGAAGGGTAATTGTGGGGGTTTCAGAACAGGCTTTAGTTCATTTCGCATCACGATCCTCCCAGGCCCTTTCTCTGCAGACAGACATCCTAGAGTCTGCCATGCTGGGAAAATGCTTGATCTCTTTATTAGAGTGTAGACCTGGCCCCTACTGCCAGGCTAAGCCAACAGAGAGATTTTTAACCTCCCTTCTCCCTCCCCCCATCCCATAACAAAGTCTCTGAACACAATGCTAGAAAAGACCAGAACCAGAGGACTCCCTGTGGGGGATTCTCTTGGACACTCACCCCACAGCAGCAGGAATATGGAGAGAGAAACTGGCTTGTCCTCTGTTTGATCCTTGTTTTGTTCACTGGAAAATGATTCTGCCCAGGGATCATAGAATATTAGGGTTGGAAGGACCTCAGGAGCTCTCCTAGTCCAACCCCCTGCTCAAAACAGGGCCAACCACCAATTTTTTTGCCCCAAATGGCCCCCTGAAGGATTGAACCCACAACCCTGGGTTTAGGAGGCCAATGCTCAAACCACTGAGCTATCCCTCCCCCGCATGCTTCAATACATGTGTCTGGGTGGATTAGAGAGCAGGAAATCTCTCTCCCTCCACTGATTTCTATCACTGCCCCTTTCAGTCTCTCCTTCCCCTGTCCTCTCTCCCTGCCCCTCTGGCTGCGAAAGTCCCATTCCTTGGTTATTTGCTCTCCCATGGCTGAATTTTCTCCTGGCAATTGCTAATGAGAGGAGAAATGACGGGGGGCTGTTTGTTCAGTCACTTTCATGCCAGTCCCCAGCACTTTCCCTGATAAGAGGGAATTTTATATTGCTAGTTGGAAAAGGGGGACTGTTTGACTGGATTTTATATCACTGTCCAATACATAAACAGAAAGTGATAGTCCCCTCCCCCCCCGCCACCATGCACATGGGCAGCAGGGAGCCCTTTGAGGAGCTGCTTTAAGAGGGTAAGGGAGAAGGAGGGGGAGCTGGAAGGATCCCTGGGTGAGGGAAGGGGCAGCTGTCGGGGATGGGCAGGTGATTGCTGGGGGCAACTGTGTTGGTAATTAGGGGGCAACAAGTGGGATTAGGAAACCGGGGTCTGGGCAGTCTCCATGGAGGACAGGGGCTCCTCCCTTCCCCGCCCTGGCAGAGGACGGGCATCTCATCCCATCCCCACCCAGGGGCAGCCATGTTTTAGGGAATGACTCAGGGCAACAATTTCCCACCTAAACAAGGACAAATCGCTGCAGATAAAATGGGTGGGAAAATCCCCCTCATTGGAGAAGATTTTAAATTGACATTTGAGAATTATGGAGAGAGCAGGGGGAAGTCGGGGGAGACAAGAAGTGATCATTTGTGGGGAAAGGGGGGAATCTCCCCGGATTTTATAGTCACGTGTGAGATACTGAGAGAGGAAAGGGGAAGAACTGGAGAGAATTCGTACTTGGGGTGAGAGACAAGTGGCACAAACAGGGACCGGATCCAATTAACTCCCCTTCCCCAGTCCGCCATTTCTCCCCCGGGGATTTCCTGGCTGCACAGAGACAGTTCAACCCCCCCCCCCCCGCGTCCCACTGACCTTCCCCGCCCCCAACTCCGGTTTCTCCCCCCCTGCCCGACACCCCCCCCCTTCCCGCCGGGGCCCCAGCCCCCACCCCAGTCACAGCGGTGCCGGGGGCAGATCCTGCTGCAGCTCCACTGGGGCTGAGGCAGCTCCGAGGCTTCTCCCAGGTTCCCCGGGGCGGAGAGTCACTTTCCTGCCCGGCCCCAGCGCCCCCGGGGTCTCTCACTCACCGGGGGGCTCCGGCCCGGGGCTGCCCAGGGGACGGGTCCCAGCTGGAGAAAGCCCCCCCGGCCGGGCATGGAGGAGTTAATGCCGGGCTCCCCCCGCACGGACCCCGGGGAGCAGCACCTGCTCAGCTCGGAGCCCCGGGTTACACGGAGGCAGCATCTTTATTCTCCCGTCCGCACGGGGACTCGCACGGAGCATGCGCAATTTCAGCTTACTTGGATGGAAAGGGCAGCAGCACCCCCCCCCCCCCATGCAGTCTGGGAGATGTAGTTCCTGATGCTACAGGGAGCGGAAATGACGTTGGTTTTGGGGGGGGCGGGGAACGAGTCGGGCTCCGAACGCGCGCGGGGCGCTCCGGCTCTGCCTGGCTAGTGCGGGGCCGTGAGAGCCTCTCCCGGGTCGGAGAAGAGGTTTGTGTTTCCGAGCTCTGGGCATGCGCAGATCGGGAGGGAGGGAGAGTCCCGCATGCGCAGAGGCAGCGCTCACCTGCTGCTGTTCCCTGGCGCTGCGGGACCGGGCTGAGCAGGAGGGTCTGTGCCGGGGAGACCCATTAACCCCCCGTGCCCGGCCCGCGCCCTGCTCCCGCTGGGGCCGCCCCGGGCTCTGCCCGCCCCGCTGCGGCGCTGCAGCCTCCAGGTACCGGAGCGAGCCCCGGGGGCCGGGCCGGGCGGTGACTCTGCCCCAGTGTCCGTGGGGGCGGACCCGGCATCTCGCAGCGCCGGGATCTGTTCCCTGGGGGCAGCGCCCG